AAGATTTACATGGGAAAACAAAGACAGGGGAAGGAGCAAACTGGGAATAATACGAAAGGGAGGTGAAGAAGATGTCCAGGAACTCAGCAGGCTTCAGAAGAGACTTCTTCATGACAGTATGAAATGACAGAATATATAAAGTGCTTGGACATAAAGAGATATGTACACAGTAGTGAGAGCTTAAGGCTGAATTAGTACTAGCAAAATAAACACATAAAGAAATCAACAAGATTTACTCTGAAAACAACATGTGCAACAAAGGAAAAGTAATCATAGTACACTACTTGGCTCAGTTGAGAACAGTATGCCACAAATTACAATGACAAAATACTGGGCAGCCCGGGTGGCTCAGAGGTTTAGTGCCACCTTCAGCCCAGGGCATGATCCTGGAGACCCAGGATTGAGTCCCACATCAGGCTCCCTGCATGGAGCCTGCTTCTTCCTCTGCGTGTGTCTCTGCCTCTCTCTCTCTCTCTCTCTCATGAATAAATAAAATCTTAAAAAAAAAAGACAAAATACTGAAATCTAATCAAAATTATAATATCATGGTATTAAAATAGGGAAGTATGTGTGGGTGGGTAAGGGACAAGGAGATTAAGAAGAGTTAAATCTTCAACTTCTAAGGTGGGGTTATCAGTTAAAAAATGCCTGAAGCATGAAAACAATTAGCAATATCAACATGCCATTCACACATCTGGAGGTAAATAAAAGAATAGCTGAATTAAAAGTTATTGCATTTAGTGAGAAATGACAGGGGGAAAAGGTGACCAGTCTGTTTTGTTTTTGTCGTAATTCTTAAAAACATATTGTTCCTTTAAATTATGAGCATGCCTCGGTGCCCATCGAAAGATGAATGGATAAAGAAGATGTGGTTTATGTATACAATGGAATATTACTCAGCCATTAGAAACAACAAATACCCACCATTTGCTTCAACGTGGATGGAACTGGAGGGTATTATGCTGAGTGAAGTAAGTCAATCGGAGAAGGACAAACAGTGTATGTTCTCACTCATTTGGGGAATATGAATAATAGTGAAGGGGAATATAAGGGAAGGGAGAAGAAATGTGTGGGAGATATCAGAAAGGGACACAGAACATAAAGACTTCTAACTCTGGGAAATGAACTAGGGGTGGTGGAAGGGGAGGAGGGCGGGGGGTGGGGGTGAATGGGTGACGGGCACGGAGGGGGACACTTGACGGGATGAGCACTGGGTGTTATTCTGTATGTTGGTAAATTGAACACCAATAAAAATTAATTTATAAAATAAAAAAAAAATAAAAAAAAATAAATTATGAGCATGTATATAACTGAAAAAAAACCCCAACTCTTAAAAAGTGTTGTGCAGTTAAAAAAATGAGAGGGAGGTATAAAGGATACAGTGTGGCACATAGTTTTCAATCCATGATAGCTTTTACTGTTCACATTTGAGTCTGTAAACGGTAACTTCATCTAATGTTTCCACTGCATAAGTGTGGAAAGGGAAGTGATGTCAAGGACACACAGAATGAGCCAAGGCCCAGGTAGAGGATAGCCACACAATGAATGGTTAAAACTGCTATAGTCTGTCCAGGAGCAGGAAACAGAGATGGAAAGCAAGTTCCCACTTTTCTTAGGCTGTGAGAGTCAGGTTGAGGAAGGGATGCCAGCTCAGTGATGGTCAGATTTAAATGGAACCTGCATCACTTAAATGGAATAGTGAGGTACAGTCATTGCTGTGGGTCTTCTAGGTAAGGTTGAAAAGGTACACAAGTCCCTTAGTGGTATCTAGAATGATGTGGATAAACCAAGCAAATATATAGGCATCTAGGGGATATGCCATGAGGTTGGAAAACATATAATCAGTATTGTTACCAAGGTGTTTATCTGTTTTTTCTTCCTCATCCATGGGACTTAGGAGCAAAGGCCACTGTTCATTAATTTAATGATACTCTTGCATGAAGCTAACCCAACAACTGGCTGGCCTTAGATGCAGATAATATATTTGGAGAAATTATGTAATAGGACCCAAAGGTTATGTGGAGAAGAAACCAGAGCTGGCCTTCCCATGAAACTCAAATGTTCTAGGATTTGGGTGGAGACATACTTAACTCCTAAGAAAAAGACTCTGCTAACTTCCCTGGAGATCATTCCAATTGCTTAAAGAAGGTGGAGGATCTACAGAATAACCAGAGTGAGGTTTCACATGTCTCTTTACAACGTAAGAAATGAGTCTTGTTCTTTACAGTAATCTCATTGGGATTCCAGCGATGTAGCTCTTCTAAAGTTACCTTCATAGACGGCTGGTTTATGAAATGGAAACAGATATACATAACCCTGGTTGACTACCTGCCCACTGCAGCCACCACACTGCTCTGAATCAAATGTTCACTGGCTGGTTTCCAAAATCAAGTTCACTCTCACAGTACCAAGGTTTGCCACCATCAAGGACTTAAAAGAAAAATTAGCCAGAGTTTTGTTTGGGATTTTACAGACTGGTTTTTGCCCTCGTCATCCTGAAAAGAAGGTGAAGGCTCTCACTGGAAATGAACTGTAGCTCTGGATTTCAGTGTTGGTGGATGTTCTCTCCAGCTTTCAACAGACTTTGTGGAATCCCATCCTAAAATGTGAGCCAGTGCTCTCACGTAACTGTCCCATGACTTCTTCAAGAATGATTTTCTAGAAGTTGTGGATTTCTTGAAAAGTTTAACATCGAAGAGTAAAGATGAGAAAAATGGAATTCTTCAAGTTTCAGCTGCTAGTAAGAGGAATTAATAGCACTGTGGTTGGTGCCTCTTCTGCTTAATCAGTTGGTGTGTGCAGAGCCAGCAGCCTTTAAGAGTTTTCTTCCTCCCCTGCTTGGCCCCATAAAAACAATGCACAGGGAAAAACCCCAGAACCCCCCTGCCTGCTCTTGCTGGCCCTGTTCCAGTCCTAGGTGAGCCCCGTGCTGCTCCAGCTGTTGAGGTGAAGCACATGTGGAACAAGCTGCTGTCCCACCTGGAGGCCGACATGGAGCGATTCATTCAGGAGCACCTGAAGAAAGTCACCTTGCCACACATGTCACCAGGCTGGCGGGATGCCAGTGATTCCATTGTGGCAGTTACTCTTTACAGCCCAGCAATGCTGGTCTACTTGGATTAGAGGTGATGATAGGAGGAGAAAGATATCTTCAAACACACTGCCTCCAGTTCTATGAAAACTATTGACCCTTCCTGATGGTGGATTTTCTTAGCCTATTTAATTTCCCATGAATGGAATCTCAGATGTAAAAAGTACCTCAGAACACAGTGAAAACTCCTTCCCATCGAGGTCTAAAAAGGCTGAAGAGGGGCCTTATCAGAGTGAGCTAAAGGGGTCGGCAAACAAAACTGTCCATGTATATATCTGCCCCACAGAAATGCTATGATGCTGCCAAGTCCTTGCTCACTAACGAGGAGATGCGGGATGACTTTGAGCTCAGCAGCTAAGACACTGAGATATACTCTGGAGGTGGAACCATGGCTGCAAAACCTATTACCTCGGGGATCAAAAGGCATTTCCTCCTCTGCTTCCATTCACTGAAGAGTCCAAGCTTTTGAGATCAAGCTTACCCCAAAAGACCAGTCTTGCACAAAGTGGGGATGAGCCAGATCAAACCAAGCCACTGAAATGTGTCACAAGAAAGGAGGCCTAAGGTTCCATCAGAAATGAGTTTAGGAGAGTTTACCAATTCAAGTAAAAAAGAAGCCAGTACAAGATCCTGAGTTGGACTGTTTTGCTGATACGATCCCAGAAATGAAGCCTGTAACTGCTATTCTTATTTTACCTGATTGAGGGCAAAGATGATGGTTCCCAAGGATGATGTCTCACCAGTCATGCAATTTTCCTCAAACTTTGCTGCAGCACAAATTACTGAGGGAGGGCCTGAAGACTGGGGAGGGGAAGGGACCTGAGCTAGGAAAACAATAACTATGACACTGTGTGGCAGTTACACTATAGGAAAAAGGATTCCTTTAGGGGAAAAAATACCACATGAAACTAGTACCTCAAAAGCAGGCTCCGCAGACAATGCCCCCCAGAGCATCCTGTTTCTGCGGTAGCAGGAGCTCTGTGCTACCTGCAGTGTGCGCCCCTGAGTGCAGCTAAGAGCCCCAGGCAGTGAAGAGGCCCACAGCTCTGATTTCTCTGAGGAAAGGCTGTGTGGGTTTGACTAGAGCTCTGTGAAACACAAGTGGCTGTTGAAAGGCTGAATTCACTGTTACTGTTTTTCCTCCAGTAAAGAAAGAAAATAAATACAAAAAGCCAAGCTGATTAGCTTAGTTCTGTGCCATTTCTTTAAGTCAGAAGAGTAAGCTCTACTATGAAGTAAAACTTACAGAAAAAATTTTAGATATAAAGTATATGAATGATTTTTAAATTGCTAAGCTTTTCCTATGCAGCTAATGGGTGTCTACTTGTGCTGTCGAATGCATAGCCCTGTGGGCACTGGGCAGGTACTGACTGTCCCACATGTGTTATATTGTACCAAAGTTCTTAATGAGCAACATGTCCCACAGTCCTGTTTTCTAAATATTCCATAAAGACTATTTTCACTAGAAAAAAAATCAGAGCAGTTGCACACATATTGGAGGGATGGCAGGATTATTGTAACGCTGGAAGGATTCTGGAAGGGATCAGTAAAAAGGGAGCACTCAGAACTGGAAAGGATGGGTATTTTTTTTTTTTTAAGGATGGATATTAATACAAACTGGGCACGGGGTGGGGTAGGATGGGGGTGCTCCTGGTGCTAGCTCCACTTCCGCCCTATCCCCACACCCCAGCTCCCCAATTCCGAGTTCACAGGATATCTATCCAAGTTTCTTTCATTGTTTTGAAAGGATGAAGGTTTCTCTGAAACGATTTCAAATGCCAAAGATAAAACAACTGTTTAAAGATTTGATTTAGGTTAACTGGGGGGCTAACTGCTGGTGCAAGATAAGATAAAGGACAGATAGGGGGGCCTGGGGCTTGTGGCAGCTGATCCCATGATCTGCTCTTACCTGTGGGGGCCTGCATGGCTGAGCTGGGGATGGTGGCAGCATCTTGGGGTACAGTGCTGGTATCCGGTTCGGGGGTGCTGGTTGTTGGTGAGGTGGGTGGTGGGTTCAGCAAAGTCCGAGGCTTCCTCTGTCAAAATGGATGGGGAGAAGTTTGCTACCCGTGACAGGTAACTTGTCTTCTGATTCCTCTATTCCTAGCCCTTGATTCACCCATTGGATGGAAATATTTCTGTGGACGGGGCTGTGTTTTATCTTGGTTTTCCATACAGAATCTTGCTCAGCACTTTACATATAGTAGAGGCTTAGTAAAAATTTTCTAAACTTATGTATAAGATTCTGGGCTCCTATTGAGCTGGAGCTTAATGCACAGTCTTTTATACTAGATTCAATACTATCCTTTGAAATTCCAGGTTCTTTATCAGTAGAGCAGACAACAGCAAAAATGGGAAAAAAAATGCTGAGGTTTTAAGTCTACTTTGATGTTATTTTGTACTTTGCTTCTCCTTCCGCTAAGTACAAACTCGTTCTTCTGTCTACCTCTAGCTCATCATCTGCCATTTCCAATCTTAAACTTTATACTCTAAGGTTTAATCTCTAACTAAATTACTTCTCTAAAAACCCTGTGGTTTTACCTCGGCCATGCCTTTACAGTAATAAACTGTCTTTTCTTCCTGGAATGCCCCTTCTTTCTTTTTTTACTTCATAAATATATGTTTTTCCAGGAAATATTTCTAGATTTCTTCTACTATCTCTTTTGTGCTACCTCTGTACTTTGTGTTGAGTCTGTCACAATGTATTGTCATATATATTTAGACACTGGTGTCCTCTATTAGCCTGGAGCTCCTTGAAGTTCTGAGTCTGAGTACCATTTCTAGCACAGCAACTGCCATATAATAAGTCTCAATAAATATTTTCAATGAAGCACACAATACAGAAACCCAATAATGGGGGAAGTAATGAAAATGATTCGAGAAAAATCTAATATCTTCTCTATGCTGTTCGGGGCAGTCTCTAGGGGAATAAGATCCCAGAAGGTTCTTTTCAAGAAATAGTTTTCTAAATTTTTTTTTATTATTTATTTATGATGGTCACAGAGAGAGAGAGAGAGAGAGAGAGAGAGAGAGAGAGAGAGAGGCAGAGACACAGGCAGAGGGAGAAGCAGGCTCCATGCACTGGAAGCCCGATGTGGGATTCGATCCCGGGTCTCCAGGATCACGCCCTGGGCCAAAGGCAGGCACCAAACCGCTGCGCCACCCAGGAATCCCAAAAATAGTTTTCTAAAAGCCGTTCTGAGTGCAAGAAAAACATAATCATCACTGAGATCCAGAAATCCATTTTTTACTAAATGTCCTATGTAGGGTCCACTGCTGGGAGGTATATAAATCTGTCTGCCTTTTAGGAGTGTATTATGTAAAGCAATAGTACCAGTGACAACGGGCATATATAAGATGGCCTTTTCTGTGGAAGCTATCATGCAAACACTTAAGAAACATTCAAAGCATACATGGGACATGGACATTTCCTCCTTATTTTTTTTTCTAATACTGCTAAAAGTAAAAGTCTAAATATGCAAGGGGTCAGGGAGGAAAGGAAATGGCAGTTCATCTTCATGGAATTAGTGGTATCATTTCATGGGGTCCCTGAAGGAAAATGCCTGGTGAGTTTGGTGCCCAAATATTGTAGTAGAAAGCAGAGAGATGGAAGGCATTACTGTTTTGAGATAGGTGCGTTTACACTCATTATATCTCTTCATATATTACCTCATCTCCACTTTATTGGTGAGAAAACTGGGGCTCAGAACCTTATTCAAAGTTTCCCACAGTCACACATGTGGTAACAAATGGAGATGAGATATAAACTTGTTTGTTGGCTTTGAAGCCTCTGCTCTCATCATGAAACTACTCTGCTTCAGAAAGGAACAGAAAGGTCATGGGTTAAGTGGAAGGCATATTCATTTATAAAAGTAGGCAAAAGGATAGGAGGGAGAATTAGCGAGTCAAATGCCAGCCCATAAAATACCGGATAAGAGAATTATTGTTTTCAAGAGGGTTGGAAAGAAAGGAGACTTTGGTTATTACTATGTTTAGGACTGCTTGAGGAAGCAAAGCAGAGGCAATCATAGAATCATAGTGTTTAGGTTTTGAAGGATCTTAAAGGCCACTTAATCCAACCATCCCTCTCCTACTTCCCTCTTCCTGGAAACACCCCTCCCATACGGGTCATCTAGTCCCTGACAAAATGCCTCTAGTGATGGTACATCACTATTCCTCTCTCCTTCCCTCTCTCTTTCCTTTCCACCTTTTTTTTTTTTTTTCAGATCAATACATCTGTTTTGGGACAGATTTAACTATTCCTCATATGTTGAGACAAAGCCTGTCTACCTGAGTTTCTACTTTTTGGTTCTGGTTCTGTCTTTGAAACCTTACAAGTTTTCTCCCTCTTTAATCTGATGTCCTCAAAATATCTTCACATCATCGAACGCATGGCTTTTCTGGCCTTGGAATCTTTAGAGCCTTCAGTCTCTCTCCACAACAGAAGAATAAGAAGAGAGTAGTGGAGACAAAAATGAATCAGGACCTGGGTTAGGGGTTAGTGGTAGATAGATCAGGATCATATGTGTTACACAGAAAGATCAGGATGTGATATCAAGAATTCAAAGCCAATTAAGAGATAATCCCAATTAGAACATCATAACTAAAATCATCCATCCTGCACATATTGAACATCTCCAAGGAGACTGAGATATAAGGTACTACAGGAGAAAAAGAGAAGAACAAGATTAGGTTCTTGACCTTGAGCAGCTTATATTCTAGAGGAACTGAAGTCAGCTGAAGTTAATAAACAGAACAAAACCAATCAATCAACCATTTAACCAACCAACCAAACTTAGGAAGGAACTCATGAGATTAGGATGGGGTGCCCAAAGAGAACTAGCTATCATTTCCACATTAAGATTGAGGAAGTCTAGTTCAGGAGGGATCTGCAAAGAAATCCCTTGACGAGAGGTGAGTGGAGAAGGTGATGCTAAAGGAAGCTGTAGAGAAACAGCTGAGGAACTTTCTTATCAATGGTTTCCCTAGGGAAGACATGCATGAAAAACCGGTCATGACTAAAAGGTGGTACTTGCAGTTACAGTGCTCAGTGAAGCTTAACTCAGTAGTCTTTTCCTGCACTAGAGATAACTGTTATCTTCTTCAGGAAATGTGGGAGAGTGCTCATGGTACCCATGGTTGGGCAGCAGTGACCATGGAACCAGAACACCTGGAGCCCCATCTCTGGCGCCTTTGCCATTTATTAGCTATGTGACCTTAGGGAAGTCTTTTCACATATCTAAGTCTCAAATTTCTTAACTATCAGATAACATAAACACTACTCATCTCCTAGGGTTTTGTGATCATTATGTAATATGTATGTAATGGTGTCTGATACAGAGTCCGATACTTACAAGTTATTCAATAATTCTTTCTTTTTAAAATGAAGGGGCAGGGATAGAAAAAGAAATACATTTATAGAGTCAATTTTCTCTTTCTTTCTGTTCACGTGCCTGGGCATCCACTCTGGGTAGCTTAACAATTAGGAGTGGGGTCTTCCATCTAGGGAAGACATTAGACCAGAATTCCTACAAATGTGAGTAGCTTTCAAGGTCAAAGTTTGTTTCTTATCCATACTATCCTATCTCTGATATTACTAACACCCAGATAAGTAGCTAAGCAGGGATGACAATCTAGGAGATTCCTGTTAAAAGCATACACAAGGTGGAAAATAGGGCCAGACATGCCCCTTTCCAAGATGGATGGATATGGGTGAGTTATCCCTTTAAAAAGCCCATTGTCCCTTTCTAGGAAACCCGCATTTTTACCTACCTTACTGCCAGGTTTGGGACCCCTCTTCTTTGGGAATTTCAAAGGTTCAGCTGACTTGGATGGGGTAGAGATGGGGTGGGGAATTAGGGGCTTGGGTGTCCGGCCCCGCTTCTTTCCTGGTTTACGCCCCCTCTGCCCTGGTTGATGGTCCAAGATAGTTTTGGTGCTGCTGTGGATGCTGGGCTTCTCAGTGTTCACATCAGATGCAGGATAGGGATTCTTTGGAATCACAACTGCAAGAAAAAGACTCATTCTATCACCCCCTCCTCCCACCTGCATTCCCATCCCAAAGAGAGGGGGAAAAAAAACTTGCTACTTCTGCTTGGGTAGTTTTATTCCAAGAAGCTAGTTTCCTGGCATCTGACCTAAATGTTAGAAAATCTCAGAGAACTGAATTTAGATTGGTTAGAATTGGAAGTTTTAATTATTTCTGACAGATGCAGAGAAAATATTAAATTTTTCTCCCCAAGGCATCTAGTTAAAGCATATAAACAGAAACACAGGCTCAGAGATGGAATGACTTTTAGAAGCCTACAATCCCTTCCTGCTAAGAATGAAGTTCCAAAGCTCAGCAGAGGAAATGATGCCTTATCTGGGTTATACAGTGAACTAGGATAAGGACTTATATTTTGAAACTAGGCCCTGACAACCAAGTTACACATTTTCTTCACCAATCTACTTAAAGTTTTAGTACGATTATTGCAATGAGGAGTAGTGAAACACATGGAAATACATCTGACAGCATCTCTCCTTACTTCAAAAATCTTTGCTCCATATTACCTTTAAGGTAAAGTCCAAATTCTTTATCCTGATATCCAGGGACTTTTGTGACTTTACCCTTGCCTTGCTCTCTGGTGATGTCTGTTGTCACTTCTTGACACATAGCCCCCCTATATTCTAGCTCAACTGTTTTCTGAAAACCAATTTATTCATATATGTTGAGTTCCCTATTCTTCCTAGTCAAGTAAAAATCAATACTCAGATTCCAGCACTCAGTTCCAGGGCCACCTCCTTACTGAGGTCTTATCTAATTATTCCCCAAATAAGTCAGTACCACTCTACCCCCAAAGCATTCTGGAGACATTTATGTTAGAGTACTTTCAATTTTACTCCAACCATTCACCTATTCTTTAAACCGAGAATGCTTCAAGGTAAGCACATCTAATTCATCCCACAAATAGTTACTGAGCACTTATTATAAGTTAACAAAACACTGTTGCCACTCTTATGGAGCTTACCTCCTAGTTGAGGAGACAGAAAACAGACAAATAAATATACTGTATAATGCCAGGTAAGTGCTATGATGAAAATTATGTGGGGTAGTAAGGAAAGTTCTCTTTGAGGAGATGACATTTACACAGAACTTCCAAATGAAATAAAGGCAAAGCCATGTGAAGATCTGAGAAAAAAACCCTCCCAAGAAGAGGGTACATAACAAGTGCAAAGATTCTGAGATGGGAACATGTCAGTGTATTTGAGAAATGGTAAGGAGGTCAGTACAGCTAGAATTGAGTGAGCAAAGAGAGGAGTGGAGGGGATTCAAGTTAGAAAGGAAGTAGCAATAAGATCGTGTAGGACTTTGCAGATGGTGAAAATGAATCTGAACTTATTATAAGCATGAAAAGAAGCTGCATGAGTAGAACTGGAGAGACTACTTCACAAACTAATTACAATGGGCAGGTAGAGGGTAACGTTGCTTATGCTTCTAGGCAGAATGTAACAGATTACAGCAGTGCAGTGTTGCTGATTCAAAAATTAGGAAAAGTCAGATACTTCTTTGAAGAGACACTGCAGTGTTGTAGAAATCACAAGGACTAGATGAACTGAGTGAGGAGGGCTTCTGAGATAGTTGTCAATGTTTTCTTTCCTGAGGACATTTGTCAATTTGGGGCATGAATGGAGGTCAGAGGACCTCTACTGGAGGAAAAAGAAATCCAACAGGCTGCTGTGACAGATTGGGACTAGAACTCCGTGTGTGGCCAATTCTCCCCACGGGATATTTGCTGAGTTCCGAGCCTGTACATTGGACATGTGAAGCTAGGCTGAGAGCTTCTAGAAGGCAGAATGAAATCTCCCATAATCCTGAGATTTTAGGGGATAGAGTCCCACTACAAGGAGGGAGGTCTACCTCAGATATGTATCTCCTCTTCAAGATAAATGCCATATTTTGAATTTAAGAGGTTAAAGAACTAAACCCCCAACCTCTAAAGGTAGGACAATCTCCTGCAATTTTTCAGGGCTGAGGAGATAGAGAGACCTATTAGGTTCTCAAATCAAGAGCCCAGGAGGGCCCACATCCAAGAAACAGATATAAACTACAGGTATAACCCAGACCTGAACTAGCTCAATCCAGGATTAGATTGAGAGGATCAGCCCTTATCCTATTAGCTTAAATAGGGGAAAGGAAGAATTCTTTCTGATGCAAGATATTAGCTGATGCCTCAACAGTTCTTTTATATAAAATATTCGTATATCACAAAAAAATATTAGATGTAAAAAGAGGCAGAAACAAGTGATTGGTAATCAAGAGAAAATACAAAACAATAGAAGGAGACTCACATATGATCCATGTAATGGAATAGAGACTTTAAAATAAGCATAATTAATGTGTTAAAGAAAGCAGAGGAAAAGATGAACAAAATGCAAGAAAGGAAAACACCCAAGAAAATAGGAATCTACATAAAAAAAAAAACAAATGAACATTATGGAATTATAAATGTAACATGAGAAATTAAGAACTCATTGGATGGATTTAAGGGAAGATAAGATCTAGCAGAAGAAAGGATTAATAAACTTGAAGAAAAATCACAGAAAACATCTAAAGTGAAGCAAAAATATGGAAAGAACATTAGAGGATTAGAGACATGTGGGCATGGTCAATGGATCCAAAATATGAGTAACTATAATCCCAGAGGAAGAAGACAGAGAGAATTAGGCAAACATAATATTTAGAAACAAATGAAAAGAGGAGCTCAGCAATCTAAGAAGGAGCAAAAATCCAAAAAAAAAAAAAATCCCCCAACTATATCATGTAACTGTTAAACTGCTGAAAATAAAGAAAATAAAATGAAATGACAGAAAAAAATTTTAAAGTAGTCAGAGAAAAGAAGCATTACTCTTATAGAAACACCAATAAGACTGATGGCTGACTTTTTAACAGAAACTATAGAAGTCAATATAATGATACATAAAAGGGCTAAGATTTATAAACTGCCAACCTAGAGTTCTATACCAAGTAAAAGTATCTTTTAAAACTGAAGGTAAAATAATATTTTCAGTCAAATCAAAGTTGAAATAATTTATCACCAGCAGACCTAAACTACAGGAAATAAAAAAGAAGTTCTTCAGACTGAAAGAAGGTAATCCCAAATAGTGAGATCGAATTGCAGGAAGAAATGAAAAGCATAAGAAAGGGCAAATATGTGCTAGATACAAAAGAACTTAGAACAAGAACTGACTAAAACAAAAACTTATAAAATGGTTTATAGAATTTATAATGTATATATTATAATCATAGTAAATTATATGAAAGCAACAGCACAAAGGATGGAAGTAGGGGATAAATTGAACCAAACTTTGTTAAGAATTTTACATTATTTGGGGAGTGGTTACAAAGCACTTATTTAAAGAAGATATTGATGAGTCCAGAATACAAGTTTCATAGGATCACTAATTAAAGAATGTATCACTAAAAGCTAAGGAGACAGAAATGGAATAATAAAATACACCTGATTAATCCAAAGGGCAAGAAAGGAGGAATAAAGAAATGAGGAAGAACTCTGACAAATAGAAAATAAAAAGGAAAATGGCAAACTCAAATCCAAATAAATACTTAAGATTAAATACAAGTGGATTAAGTAAAACAACAGGAAAAAACTAACATACTGCACCAAAACCCCTCAGTACCTAATTAAATCTGTTTATAAGAGGGCCTTGAAATATAAGGACACTTGAAATATGACACAGATAAAAAGATAAAAACAAACAGATGGAAAAACATATACCCTGTAGACAATACCAAAAGAAGGCTCATGTGGCTATATTAATATCAAACAAGTTAGTCTTTAAGGGAAGAAGTAGGTCTAGATTAAAATGGAACATTTCATCAAGATAGTTAAATTTCTATATATGTAATAACACAAAACATATAAAGCAAAAATTTAGAGAATGAAAAGGACAAACAGACAAATCCAAATTATGAGTTGGAGATTTTTAACATATCTCTCTCAATAACTGATAGGTTAAGAAGTTGAAAAAAATCAGTAAGGATAGGAAAAATTTGAATAACTCAATTAAATGACTAAAAACATAAACAACCAATTAACCAATCAACTTAATTGATATCTGTAGGACACTACACCCAATAAGTATAGAATGCACTTTCTTTTCAAGTACTTGTTATATGCTGGGTGAAAGAGCAATCCTGAATAAAGTTCAAAGAACTAAAATCATACAGAACATGTTCTCTAGCCATAGCAGAAATAATTTAGTCTCAGCCACAATCTTCAACATTTATTTTTAGAAAACACTACTGCTTTGGTGTTTTAGGAAAAGTTTTATAAATCATTCTATATTAATAAATTCCGATACAGCAGGAAGATAAACAAGTTAGTGTGTTCAGCTCTACTACCAGTAATGCAGAAAGACTTATAGCTCTAAAAACAAAGACTTGTAAGCAGGAACATAAGAATTTGCAGATTTTTTTGTACTAACTGATTCAATTCATAAATTTGCATTCATTTGTTTATTCTAATCACTGCTTAATAACTTTATGTTAATATAGTTATGCATAAACTATATGTCTATCTTAGAAGAAAAATGCAAAGTGTCAAAAGGAAGAATCTTAATATATTTCTGCCTTGATATCTTGCGGCTTTTTCTTTTTTTATTTTAATTTTTTATTTGAGTATAGTTGGCACACAGTGTTACCTTAGTTTCAGATGAACAACACAGTGATTCAACATCTCTATATGTTATGCTATACTCACAAAAAGTGTGGCTAACATCTGTCCCCATATGGCACTTTTATAATATCATTGACTATAGGGCAGCCCAGGAGGCTCAGCGGTTTGGCGCGCCTTCAGCCCAGGGCGTGATCCTGGAGACCTGGAATCGAGTCCCACGTTGGGTTCCCTGCATGGAGCCTGCTTCTCCCTCTGCCTGTGTCTCTGCCTCTCTCTCTCTCTCTGTCTCTGTCTCTCATGAATAAATAAATAAATCCTCCCAGACTTTC